CTGCTGGTGTGGCTGTGGCAGCACAAACACACACACACACACCCTTGCAGTCATCACTTACAGCGATTGGTACATATACTTCCATTCATTTCCAGGAGACTTAACTTAACCTTAACCAAACTGGCACTACTGTCATTTTTGTAAAATCTGATTTTCCATTTTCCAATATGTAACAGATTTTTTGCTTGAATTTGACTGATCAGTGGTCAAATCAAGCACTGCAGTTGAGCGGTCAGGGTGTCTGGCTCCACAGGTTTCATCACATACTCTATATACGGTAAATATACAGTATGAATAACAGAAAACGTCCAATTAAACCAGATGTGACTAACTTAGCAGCTCTGAAGTAAATGGAGCCTTCATAAAGTTCATAATGTTCAGTTTTTGTTGTAACAGTTTCCGTGAGTGGTTGATTTGGGCTTTTTGGAGGCTGTAGTTTATGTAGCTTAATTGTATTATTGCTAAAATGTAGTCAGCCCTGATTGGTACAAACAAGGCAGACAGAATCAGTGTCTCTGCCCATTTCTTAGTTCTACTGTCAGAAACAGATCAAATAAGTTGTAGAAAAAAACTAAAAGATAAGAAATAAAGAGGAAGCCTAGTATGTATGAACCTTTACACAATATGCATGTTGTATACTTTCATTTGTATCAGCATCAGTGTCTGCAGAAACATATACATTACAAAAAGAGCAAAGCAAAAGCAAAAGCATTAAATTAAGACAGAAAATGAAAGATTCCCTCTTACAGCATTCTAATTTTCCATCAAATCTTACCTTTTCCAATTATGTCCAGTGTTTTCTATTGCAATGTACTTTTCTTCTTGGACCTAACTTTTCCAGCTAACTGAATCTGTGGCTGTGATCTTTTTCCATGTTTGTGTAATTTCCTTTGGCACTGTGATCCTGAAGATTTTAAATAAGGTGGAGGATTCCCAAAACGTTTTGTTGGTCATAGTTATTTTCCAAATGATGAGATACAACCCCTTCACCTTTGTTAATACTGATAGAAATCTTATTTATATTTCCCAGGATCATTTTACATGAGGCCTCTGTCTGTAAATGTTTTTCTTTCCAGCTCTGGGGTTGTGTGCCAGTTGAACACATGCAGTGTTGCTTTCCAATCAAAGATTGTCTGTGTAAGAAGATGGCTCACACAATGGGTAAAGGTTTTACCTCTTGACCAGCAAAACGGGCAATCTTCTGCACAGTGTGCAACACTAACACACAGGCTAAAGACCCCGCCCCCACCATTTCTACCTAGGACCCCTACATGAATGTGATAATGTTGGGTGTGTTGGGGTGGACCTTGTACTGAGCCTGCCATGGGCTCCAGACCCCTTTCCGCCAGTTAACCAGCCAGGTGGGGCCTGTTTAGCATGCTGGGGGGAGAGGAAGCGCTAGTGGAGCCCTATTGATAGAGACTATCTGTTCCTGTGTGTTCATATTCTGCTAAGGGGGGCGGGACTAGGCCAGCTGATCACAGGCACCGCAATGGAGGTTTTATAAATAAACAAGTGACATTAACTTAAAAATACAATATAAATACGGCACTGTGCAAAATAAGATATTAAAGAAATGAGTAGGCACAAAAAAATACAAGGATTTAAATAAAAAGAAAAAGATGATCTTACAAAGACCTCTAGTGGTGTTTTTGGTAACTTAAAAACTACACCATCACCTCCTCAATCTCACATAACCTGCTACAGCTTTACTCTCCTGGTTTTTCTTGCAGCAAATTCATCTACAACATCATCATATGACAACTGATTTGAGACCACATGGTTTATGCTTATAATGGCAAGTCCACTGAGACGTTCTTGCATCATAGTAGATCTCAGGTAAGTTTTAATCAGTTTGAGCTTAGAGAAGCTTCTTTCAGCAGCAGCCACTGT